AATGGCTGTATCAATTTACTTTCTTACCAACAGTGTACATACAAGAGTTCCCTTTTCTTCACGTTCTTGCCGACATTTTAAAAAATAATGTCCATCCTAATAGGTATGAGATGGTATCTCACTGTGGTTTTGAGTTGCATTTCCTTCACGATCAGTCATGTTGAACACCTTTTCATATCCTGTTGGCCATTCATATGTCTTCTTTTTTTTTATTTATTTATTTATTTTTTTATTTTTTATCCTCACCCGAGGATATTTTTCCATTTTTTGTACAGATAGAGTGGGAGGGAGAGAGAGGAAGGGAGAGAGAGAGAAACATCGACGTGAAGGGACACATCGAGTGGCTGCCACCCGCACGACCAACCAGGGCCGGGGACAAACTGCAACCGAAGTACATGCCCTTAGCGGGAACCGAACCCGGGTCTCTCCAGACCGCAGGCCGACGCTCTAACCGCTGAGCCAAACTGGCCAGGGCCATATGTCTTCTTTAGAGAAATGCTTACTTAAGTCTTTTACTCATTTAAAAATTGTTATTTGTTTTTGCTGTTGAGTTGTAGGAGTTCCTTATATGTAGTAGATATTAACTCTTTATCATATTTGTTGTTTGCAAATATTTTTTTCCCATATTGTAGGTTGCATTTTCATTCTGTTGATTGTTTACTTTGCTGTGCAGAAGCTTTTTAGTTTGATATAGTCTTACTTGTCTATTTTTGCTTTTGTTCTCTGTGTTTTTGATATTATATCCACAAAATTGATGCCAAGACCAATGTTATGAAGCTTTTTCCTGTGTTGTCTTCTAGGAGTTTTACAGTTTCATGTCTTTCGTTTTAATCTTTAATCCATTTGAATTAATTTTTGTGTATGGTGTAAGATAAGTGTCCGATTTCATTCTTTTGCACGTGGATATCCAGTTTTACAAGCACCATTTGTTGAAGAGACTCTCCTTTCCCCATTGTGTATTCTTGGCACCCTTCTCAAGATCAGTTGATCATATATGCATGAATTTCTTTATGGGCTCTTCGTTAGGTTACACTGGTCTACATGTTTGTCTGTATGCTAGTTCCATACTGTTTTGATTACTGTAGCTTTGTACTATGTTTTAAAATCAGAAAGTATGAGACCTACAGGTTTGTTCATCTTTTTCAAGATTGTTTTGACTAAGCAGTGTCCTTTGTGGCTCCATATGAATTTTAGGATTTTTTTCTATATTTCCATTAAAAAAAAAATCCTACTGGAATTTTGATAGGGAATGCATTGACTCTATAGATCACTTTGGGTAAAATGCACATTTTAACAATATTAAGTCTAAGTCTTTCAATTCATAAACACAAGATGTCATCTCATATTTTTTGTGCCCCCCCCCCCCCATGGCTAGAACTAGTAAATGAATTTAGTAAAGTTGCAGGATACAAAAATTAAATGCATTTCTGTATACTAATAATAAGCAATCCAAAAAATGACATTAAGAAAACCCATTTACAACAGCATCAAAAAGAATAAAATACTTGGGGATAAACTTAACCAAGGAGATCAAAGACTTGAACCCTAACAACTCTAAAACATTACTGAGCTCCTTTTAATAAAACTTAATCTGTCTTCTTAGGACCATGCTAGGTCATTGGTACACTAATCTGGTAAATAAATTCAAACTTAGTTATAACTGACTTATTAGTTTATCTTTCCCACATATTGACCAGGAGTATTTAACCCAAAAGTATGTAAAGAAGGTAACACTGACTGAACTGCCTGCAGGTGAAACATTTAAAAATAAATATTTTAAAAATTATAAACTGTAACACTAGATTGCTCTATCTAACATAAAGCCAGCCTTTTTCTTTTCTTCTTCTTCTTCTTCTTCTTTTTAAATCAATATTTGGACAAAACTGCATCCATTATCAGGGATAAATACAAGTAGTTATTTTTGGGAAAATCTCTCTGAAATTATAACTTCAGGGAGAAGACATCAGTTTGGATTTCCCCACGTGGCATACATACACGACTTCAGTGACTCTGGGAAAATACAGTTTGGGAGGAAGTACCATAATAAGGGATTGCAACTTTTTTGATCACTTACCATATGTTAGGTGGTTAGCAAATATATTTCATTTAATCCTTTTCATACTCTATGAGGTAGATGTTTATCCCACTTTGCAGATGAGGAAATTAAAGCTCGGGGAAGCAGAGCCCACGTTCTCTCTCAACGTGAGTGTGGATCTGAAGCTGGGTCTGCTCACAGCCTGTTCTTTCCTCTTTACACACCAGGTGGCCAGCCAGGAACTGGGGTAGAGAGATGGTGCTGAGATCGTGAGTTATAAGCTTCCCTGTCCGGGGAGGCTTCCTGGGAGGGACAAGGTGGAAGAGACTGCTCGATATCCCTGAAGTGGGAAATCTTCAGTAATCTATAAATTTTCAGCCAGAAATCAGGTTAAAGTTATGGTGAAATTGATCTATGGTCTGCTGAGCTGTCCTCAGGTGCATCTTCAAATCACTGAATAGGTTCTCCAGGGGTGGGCCCCGGGGCCTGAGGATGGCTTACCAAGCAGCAAGGTAGGGCTTCCACATGATTTTCCACAGGACACTGGGGACTTTGTCCTGGTGATCACAGAAGGATTTAGTCTCCCTGTCTCCACAGTTACTGAGCCCTGTACGTTCTGGTAGGGTGAGGAGACCTTGGCTGAGTGACTTTAAGACGATCTCAGGTGTCCAGAGATCCTTTTGTTTCTCCTTGATGTGCTCTTCAGTGACATTTATTCTGCTCTCCTGGGAACATCAGTACACTTGATTCTCTAGCTTTTCAGCTCGTGATATATTTATTATCAACCAAAACCTGCCTTCTGCCTAACCATGGCACTTAGTGAGAAGTCTTAAATAAAACTAAAGAAGATTAAATTCATTTAGGGGTGAATGGTATAAAAGACATGAACCCTAAAGGTTTTCTAATTGGCATGGAATTCTGTCCTGTGCCAAAGTTTGATTACATTTTCATCTGGTATCTCGCTGTCGGTTTATTAAAACTGGATCTAAAAATGTCATACTCTTTTGTCCGGATAGCAGATCTTTCTCTTACAACAAAACTCCCTCTGGCAAGCTCCTCATGAATGGCTTTCCCCCCTTTGTGTTTATTATCCTGCTGTGTCCCTACAGTACAGCCAACTGGAGATGGTGACAGCTCACAAAGACTCACACATCCTCCAGGCCACTGCTGGCCCACTTTCCACGCTATGGGTCCCAGCTAAAACCTTTTCTGCTTTTCTCCCTTCTCTCCCACAATGCCCGAGACTGCGGGACGAGCTGTGGTTTGTAACCGGTGGTAGAAGTCCAGAATAACTTCCTGTTGGGGTGCTGATGCGGGCAGGGGTCAGCCCTGGGTACAGGTTCTGGAACATCCTCCGAGCAATTTTTTTTTTTTACTTAATATAAAAACGTTTTTCTAAGTATTGCCTCACTCATTGGGCTCGCCGTGTTTTAATAGAAAGTCAATGGGTAACAGGCAGTTAATAGACGTTTTCCTGACCCCCTCCTCCCATCCTTCTTGCACTCCTCCTCCTATTTTATTTCTTTTAGCGAAGGAAGGCGAAGACACACTTCTGTCCCCTATACCGCCCCGATTCTTTTTTGGCACCTGGTGACCATCAGGAAGACCCGACCAACTCGGAAGGGTCGTTTCCGATCACCTCCAGAGATGGACGCATCACTTCGCGCTAACTCCAGGCACGGGATTCTAGAGAGCGCTCCCAGGCACAAACAGGAAAGCCTGACATCACGGGGTGGCGGAGTGGCGCGGGGAGGAGTCTGCGGCGCCCTCACCCGCCGCCCGCTCGCAGCGCTGCCTTTGTGGCCGGAGTCGCGCGCACCGGCGGCAGCAGCGGGGCAGCGCCGCGCGTGTCTGGGCTCGGAGCGCGGCCGCCGAGCGGGGCGCGGGCTGGAGCGGCGGGACCGCGCTGGCCCGGGAGCAGGGCGCATCATGCTGCGTCCCCGTAGCGAAGGGAAAACAGAATGAAATTGCTTTGGCAAGCGAAAATGGTAACGACAACTCTCTGCCTTCTCCCGAGGCTTCTGTGGTGGGGACTTCTCCCGCTTTCTCTGGGCGTGTGGGACCCCTCGGAGCGCCGGAGCCCCGGGTCCCACTCGGGCGGACGCTTCCCACTCTGCTTTGTATGCCTTCCGCGCCCGCCGCGGGTCTTCTCCCTTTCGGAGACACCCACTTTCTCAGCACTGCCTTTGGTGTGTCTGGGGCAGATGTGTGGCAGGAAAGGACAACTTTTAAGGAAAAGGAGCTGTGAGTCCGGGGAACCGCGGAGCGCTTCGGTGCCCCGGCGGCTCGACCGCAGACTTGAAGTTTAGCCGGGACGTGGATCCGGGGAGTCCATGCACACGTTTTACTTGAAGCTCCGTGATGATGTGTTGCTTCTTCTGCACTTGCCAGATGATTTTATGGAAATAAAAACTTTCCACCCCCCCGCTAACGTTTTGGGTCTCCAAACAATCAGAGGAGAAAAAGACATGGGAAGCATTTGCCTTCCAAAAGAGTGAGGACTCTTGGCATTTTAAATGCTTGTTTGTGTCAGAGTTTAAAATGTAGTTCGCTCAAATAACCGAGACCAACTTTTCTACCAATGAATTATTTTCTTTTTCCTTTAAGGAGGAAAAGTTAATGAGGACGAAACCACAGTTTCTTTAAGAAGAAAAAAAAGAAGACTTTAAAATTATTTAAGATATGTGAGCGAGTCTAGGAAAAATAACTAAATGGAAAAGTCTGGGGATTCTGATACCACAGGAAAGGGCTGGGGGCCAAGAAAATCTCAGCATTCCCTTTATCGCAATGTGTCTTGTATTGCTCTGATTATAATATTTATTTTGAACAGCCTGTCTTTTGCCTTGAGTGCTGGGGTAAGCAGCAAAGCAGCTGGGAGAGATTGTGGTTTGCAGAGAGGGAAAAAAAAAAAAAACCCAACAAAACAAAAAACCTTTTTCTTTCTCTTTTTCCCATCTCCTGGTAGAGCTCAATTCAGGACTGGGGTGAAGAGGTAGAGGAAGGAGCTGTTTACCATGTCACCCTGAAAAGAGTCCAGATTCAACAGGCTGCCAATAAAGGAGCAAGATGGCTAGGGGTGAGTACAGCTGGAGAGGTCGTGAACTTTGGAGTTGCGTTGTCTGTTGTTCTGTGAATATCATTATTATTTAGCAGAGGCAGGCTTTTCCCCCCCTTCTCTTTCCGCCTTAAAAAGAAACTGCCAATGACCAAGTATTTATTTGCACTAGCGGTACAGGTCTGTCTGTTTTTGTACTTAATGTTTTCCAAAGCATCTTCCATAGGTTCGTTAATAATTCAGAGCCTCTTAGAGACATCTTGAGGTATGTGGCGAATAGAGTGGGGGTGGAGGGGCAGAAGGTGACACAGAGGAGCGGGGCTGGAAAGCACTCTGATAGACAAGAACTGTAAGCAGTTTTGCCCAGATGGCACCCTCTTCTCTCCTGGTCCTCCCTCTAGGAATGCTGACAGCCCCTCTCCTACTCCCAGATGTTTATGAAGTACCCAGAATGCTCGGGGGACAGACCATTCCAAATCTGCTGCCTGTGGGGGTGGCAGATTTCCCATTGTTCCCTCCTTTCCCAGTCCACGAGGAGACAGATATTCGCTGCCAAGGCATCCTGTGCAGCGCCCGGAGAGCGCTGGGCCTCATAAGCAAGACTTTTTTCCTACTGAGGTTCTGGAATCTTGGGTGGGATCATGTGAGGTTGTTCCTTATCGCCTAATGATCTTTTCGCACGTCCCAAATAATTAGGGGATGTGAGAAATGGAAAGCTTGGCCGCAGGATCACTACTTGAGCAAATGTCAGCAGCGTATTGACGACTTAAGGAATTCTTGATCTGGGACCAGAAGTGACCCTCCGAGAGAGCAGTGAGAGGGGACACAGAAAGCTTGAGAATGAAAATAATGGGAGGGTGAGTGTGGTTTCATCATGCCTTGTCCTAGCCACACTCGGGCTCCACAGGCGATTGGCTGGAGAGCAGTGAAGATTGTGTACTTGCACCAGACTCGACTGGCTTTGGTTCTCAGAAAATTCAGTGTTTTGAGCCGCATTCAAAGGTGAGATGTGAAGGAGGACAGGAAACAAACTGCCCAGGGCCTCACACCAAGACTAGAAGCAACATGTGCCTTGTCACTTCCAGAACGCAGGGCAGGGTGGCCAGCGGCGATGATTTTCTCTGGCACGGGTCTGCGGGTGTGCTGACGCAGTCCTCCGCTGCCTTGGGCTTCCCCAGCCCTTCTACTCGGGATCCCACCCACCAGGAGAGTAGAGCGTTAGTGACATCCGCAGGTGTGGCCTGACCTGAGGTCTTCATTGAACAGGTAGATGCCTTACTCCGAAGATGATTTTAAAATTAATTAGGCGCATCACCAGTAGACCTGCTAGGGAAGGAAGAAGGAGAGTTCTGACAAGCCGTCACTTTGTTTTCGGTGCCTGTGTACATGCATTTTATTTAAATGTGGCGTTGATGTGGTCTGTCCTGTCTGGGCATTTCAGAATGATTCACAGCTTCTGAACCAGCTGCCTTCAAAAGGGTCACTATATTTGCTGATGCTGACTGTTCCTCTTCTTCTGATGAGACTGATGTTGCTTGGGTGACAGTTTTAGTTCTTAGCCAAACACAATAGCAATGAATAAGTTATGGGGAAGTGGAGGGGTTAACTCTGTAGGCCCCAGACACACAAAAGTATGGTTCATTTAGAAGTCCAGAGTTATTTAGTAATTCTCACGGACTGTTCTGTACACTGGACTCTACTTCTCTCCCCTTCTCCCAGTATTCTCAAGTTTATACAGTGTTTAGAGTTGGTTCACCCTGGACTTAGCAGTAGAGCTGAACTGTTGAGAGGGAGGATGGTGTAAAAAGATCGTTTCTCGTTGGAGGGATCTGTCCCTTCCCTCCCATTTCGACAGTGCTGTTTGCCGCTGCCACCGGTCCCCAAGAGCGACTTCTCAGGACTCTCCAACTTGGATCCCACTTTTTCTTTTTTGTTTTAGGTGTTTTGTTGGGAAGGTCTGTTTTTGTTCTTGGAAATTCCACATTTAATTCAATCTGACTCAACCAATTGAGCCATAGCAATTATAAAACCTTTCTCTTTAGGACTCAGTGGCTTTTCTGTATTTATCTTCCTATATTCCAGTAACTCTCAAAATTCTTCAAAGTAACCTGTTTAAAGCATTAAGGTGAGGTGAGGTGAGGGGATTATTGAAACATGACAAAAACCTTTTGAGGAAAGTGGTATCATGGTTTTTGTTTTTTTAATCCTTACCCCAGGACATTTTTTTTTGCATTTTTATCTTCAGATAGAGCGGGAGGGAGAGAGGGAGGAAGAGAGAGAGAGAAACATCACTGTGAAAAATACATATTGAGTGGTTGCCACCCACACAACCCCAACAGGGGCTGGGGACAAACTGCAACTGAGGTACGTGCTCTTAGCAGGAACCGAACCCGGGACTCTCTGGTCCGTGGGCTGATGCTCTAACCGCTGAGACAAACTGGCCAGGGCGGTATCATGGTTTTTATAATATACACACACACACACACACACACACACACACACACACATTTATATATTTCCCACCCCACCCCCTACCAGAAACTAATGCCCAAAGTGGTTAAACTGTTTGCCAGGGTCACACAGCTAGGAAGTGGAAGAGGCTGGATTTGAACCCAGATTAGTTGTTTGCTGTTGGGAACTGCCTGGTCCTTACAGCTGTTTCCAGAGCAATAGAAGAGGTTATTGGCTCAGAAGAGCAAGTGTGCTTCTGTGTACTCGTACCCTAGATGCCGTACCTGGTGGAGGACGTGAACAACGTGCCTTATCTTTAAGTGCTTTGAATGATAACTTGAGCTTCAAATTGAAACGCTTGTTGTGAAGATGTGTATCTTATCAACATGTTTTCCATCTGGGACGTGTCAAGTATGGTACACAAGGATACATGAGGTTACGTAGCATGGAAGGTGAGCGTAAGTCTTATTACGTGCCTGTAAGACTTATCTCAAAAGCCTAAAAGACTGAGTACAATTTTGATATTTTTTGGTGGTCAGATCCACTAATTAAGATTCAGTTTGGGAAGGATAGCAAGATTACTTCACACCCTGAGATGTGAAGTATACCATCCACAACATTTAGGGCATTCTTTTGTATTAGTTAAATTTTGCGTTCAGTTGATCTTTTGAAGTAAAACCCTCTGTCTTTGGTTGTAAATTGCATGACTGAATATGGCCCAGGCTGGGTTTACTTATACATGTAGCTGCAACTTTGCCCACTGACAGTGAGATTATGTTGGGAAACTTTGAAAAACCAAATATTATTGAAATACTAGCCCAATATTTACTCTACAATAACATCTTAGACTGGGATAATTTTACCCAGGTATAGCCCTCAAAGAAAAATGGCTCCAGTTGTGTCGCAGAATCATAAAATCTCAGGATTGGAAGAGATTTTAAAAAGTAATTTTATCCAGCCATTCATTTAGCCAGTAGAATGTCCAATGATTTTTGGAAAAGCAGTAGTCAAAAACAATTATTTTTCTTTGGTCACAGCATTGTGGTTATACATTGACATGAAATGTAGAAATGGTTTAAGAAAATATCAGTATTCTCTGGAAACAGGAAATGTACCTATTCAAATGGGTAGAGGAAAAGGTAAGGGGCGTTGGTGTCAAGAGCTCATTCTGCTGTCTTTAGAAGATGACAGACACAGTCCAGAAAAACATGTCCAGCCTCAGATAAGTGCAGAGAGGGGATTTGTTTCACAAGCAGGATTGGTAGGGCTGGGTCCCTTTTGCAAGGTTTGTGGGGGGTCAGATGGTCAGTGGATCATCACATGGCTTTCTCAGTTCTGTGCCTCTGTGGTGATGCAGTCTAGTGCCTCCCTTCCCCACGCCCCGTATTTATCTCACTGTCTCCCATAGGCCCTTGTTGGGTTGAGCTGAAATGCTTCATAGCTGGGAGGCTGGTAAAGATAGTGAATAGGACAATTTGTTCAGAGAAAGCTAAATAAATTTAGGAATAAAGGAACTGGAAATATGTCCTAGGACCCAGCATTTAGGGTGAATTGTGGCCAGTCCGTGGGTTATATGGGGGCAGTGGTAAGATAACCACTTGTCATGTCTGGATTCAGAAGCGGACCCTCACTTGGATACACGATTTACGTTGACTCTACCTGGTGTTTCGGAGGCGTTACTGTTCATATTGCCTTCCAAGTACATACAGTGCTTCAAGTTTTCACCTAACTTCCTGGAAGCTTCTGTGACCTCCCAGGTCTGGAGGAGGTTTGCATGCTGTGTGTTCCAGGAGCACTCCCTCTCTGTCATGTGTGCACCCCACCCCGTGGTAATGCCCTGCTTGTGTTTTTGTCTCCCCCACTAGGCTGTCTGCTTGGTGAAGGGGGGACCGTGGCCACTTAGTTGGCAGGAAACTCAGCAGTTTGTTCAATGAACAAATCATGTTGAATGAACAACTCAAGCTCCATCCCTTTTGGGGAGATTCATACTGTCTTGATCAATGTGAACGTATGGTTGCTCCTCATGTAAAACAAAATCAGCACAGACGTTAGCTTAGAAGGAAAAGTGGGGGAGCATGGGAGCAAGCAAAACCAATTAGGTAATGATTATAGCTATCGTACATCCTTCGTGGAGCCAAGCAGGGCACAGACAAAGGTCGTGATTATTCATCTGAAAAAAAAAATTCACGGCAGTGGAGTAACTAGGGAATTCTCCAGTGCCTTCGACGAGCAAGGGGACCCGTCGTCCTTGTCTGATGGCTGAGTGCCGAGGGAGAAAGGCAGTGCAGGAGTTAACGAGTGCTGGCGAGCACCGCAGTGGTGTGCGGTTGGAAGCGCAGGGGTGGGATTTCAGAGCTGTAAGGAGATAAGCCCTAGAGGAGCCCTTCGTTTATAGCTGGTCATCTTTGTTTTCATCTAGGAAAACTGGCCCTTGGGTTGCATTATTCTTGTCCATGGGAATGTTTAGTTTGGGCTTTAGAAAGTAAATGTCAAAAGTTAGTAACCATCTGTAAATGAACCAACTGATATTATTCATTTTGACCTTGGGAACATGTTTTAAAATAACCCAA